TCAGAGTAAATGACCTCAAAGGTCTATATGAAGGGCCAGGATTCCTGTGGGATATTTTGACTATTGCACAATTTCTCAATTTTGTGAAGGACAGCATTAAGGTTATATAGGAGGCGACTTAAAAATTCTTTTTGTGTCTGGCTATTTCAAAAGATTCAATATCGGGCTCCCTGTGGGTTAACACACTAGTGTTTCCGCCCGCCATCGAAGGAACAAAGATGTCAAGCTGGGGAAAGGTAAAGTTATCGCTGATATCTTTCTTTTTATAAGCGTTCAAAGTCACTGCGACATGTAATATCCATACACGTATACTGCTGCAATATTAATGCAATGATAAGGCACAAAATGTAGCTGGCATGGCAAGCCCCTGCTTGAACTTCTCTTTGTATCAAGTTGGATTATTTGTGCAGTGAGTGGAAAAATACTCCCTGTTTTGTCTTATTAATTTTATTATCTGCCGCAAGTTAACCGTGAAGGCTAGAGAAATGCTGAGTTTTTGAGAAAATATAAGGGCTCTGCATGGTATACGACTGCTCAGTAGCTAGATTGAACTAAGCTTATATTCCGTGGAAGATTTCTAAATGTCTCCCAGTAAAGGAATGCTGACATGCCATACCTGCACTGAGGTACTGATTGCAGACCAGAAAACAAGATTTAAAAAAGTGTAGACTGAAAAAATGCATACCCACTATGAAATCTTTATTTAAAAAAAATAGTGACTAAAATTGCATTGAAAATATCAAACGTGCTGCGCTGTCACTTCTCGGCTGTCACTTTGACTGTCCGGCACGATGCGAGGTTCGCGCGTATATATTCTTGAAGGTTTAAATGTATTGCAAATGGCCTTTCTGAGCTTTCAAGCGACGAATAGGCTAAATGAGAATTCCTTCTGTAAATTTCCTTTTATAAAAACGTAGTTTTGAACTTTAAATAACAAATTATTCGACTAAACAGGAGTGAGTTAGCAGATTTTACTGATATCTTTGTGCCTTCTCGCCGTCACCTTCGTCACGCAACAAACGGAAAGCGCGGGATATTATGATTAGGAACCTGTCATTATCTAACGGGGGAGTTGCACTATTTTTGAGGAGAGGGGCATTATTTTTTGATTGCCGTTTAGGGGAGAGCTACAATTTTTTTGAAACGCGTTCTGGGGCCATTAATTTTTGAGCCTGAGGATGTTAAAATATTGTTATGCATTAAAAATGAAACAGAAAATGGCGAAAGCAGAAGGGTCGGAAGGTTGCAATGAAGACAGCAATGAAAATAGTTGCAGAAATCAAAAGAAATCGCATTTTATTCTAATTCGTGTATATTCTTGTGTGTATATTTTGAGGCGGGAATATAACAGCGCGCCGAATTGGGTGGATATCATTAGCATTTATTAGTTTATTGATTTTTAATATTAAAATATTTAATTAGACGCCTTACCAAGGAGAAGGGCCAGTGTTCGGAGAGTTTTGCTGCTCTCGATGCGGTCGTGAATGGAAAAGTGCAAACAGTTATGCCAATACTGGACAAGAGTGTCTGCAATGCCAGGAAATTGTATACCCTTACAATCAAAACTCGTTATTTGATGGTGAATCAGAATCTGAATCCGAGCAAGAAGATTTGGTAGAGGAATGCTTTAAACATGGGACCTT